TTGTTTGTCGATAATTTATGAATGATTTTATCTTAATTTTTAAATTAAATTTTGATAGATCTTGTATAATACTCATGATTAGTCTCACGTCGGAAGTGAACAAGATTAAGATTAATTTATAAGGATTTGATGAGTGTATTACTAAAAACTTCAGTTTAAACAGTTTGGTGTTCATCAGCCGGGCCATGACATCTTACAATTAAAAATAATTTATGTTCCATATTTTATTATTTTACATATTTATTTACAGTTTAGTTTTGTGAAATTATAATCACATGCTTATCCAAGACTACAAAGAAGATACAAACTTACCTCTATCATATACATCTATATTTTTAGTTATTTGGATACTGTTTTGGGCGAATATTCAGAGAAACTTCTTTTCTTTTTTTTTTGAACTTTTTGTAAGAGGTCCATTTGTCGTATTTGCTTAAATGTCTTCTTGATAAGACAATTGGAACTATTTAGTTACACTTATGGATCGATTTAATCTCCATATATAAGATTTACATGATTAGTTGTAATATTTTTTGAATAGTTTATATATATATATTTATGTATTTATAGAATTTTTTTAATAAATTTATTTTTGACACAATCTCCAATTTAGTTACAGGATTTTTAATAGGTGTGTTTTATCAAAAATAATTTTTGCAAAGATAGGAAAAGGAACATTAATTATCCTAATGTTCCTAAAATATATTAAAAAAATGTTTTGCTAATGCAAAACATTATCTTTTTATATTTAAGAATGAACAGGCAATTAATTTCTTTTTTTAATCTATTTATTTATTTCCTTTTTAATTCCCCATGCACGCTGCTGTACTTGCTGTTTTTTCACCCAATCAGTTCACCGGGCCAGGAGAGTGCAAGCATGTGAAATCAAGGGTGTGTATATATCAATCAATCGTGCTTTCCGTGATCACAGGGATAGGGCCTCATGATTACCGACACGACCGCGGAGGACGAAGTCGCGTTCCCCCAAATGACGCAGGCCAACCGCGGTGGCATTCTCGTAGTTACGGACGAGGACGAGGGCCAGTTCCGTACCGCCACCGTCAACCGTCGTGTTCCAAGACGAGACACGTTTCGATTGCTGACTCGTCCGGACACGGTGTCCGGTCCTACCGAGCCCGACACCGCATCACCGCCCAAATTCTCTGTGAACCCAAACACCTACGATCGTCACCCACGCGCGTACCTCTTCCTCCTCCTCCCCCCCCCACCCCCCAACCGTGGGTCCCGCAGAGGACGACGATGTCCGAACTTCACCGTTCTGCTGTCGGTTATGTTATTGATGATTATTATATATCTATATTTACCGTCTCCGTATAACTCCGCTCGTTAAATGGGAGGCGAAGCCCTCTCCATCCTTTTTGTCTTATCATCATCGGCTGCTCTTTCATTCGATCCATCTTTTTATTCTCGTGTTCTCGGCTATTTTTCCTTGAGATTGTAGTTCGATTTTGATCTGCGATCGTTCTAGTTCTTCGGTTTCTGCTTCGGACCAAGAATTTCCCCATTTTTTGAGGGTTTCGATCGTCTCCCGCTGGATCCGGCGGTTGAATGATCGATTCCGGATTTTGATGCCGCCTTCTGAAGGTTGCATGCGTGGTTGACAACGAGAGAGAGCACGCCGGTCCGCAATCATGCGGGCGGCCATGGTTGTGTGTACCAGTGTGCTCTTTCTCGTCGTCACCTGTCTCGCTCGCCCTCGCGACGAAGCGTGTTCTGTGCCTAGAAGCCCTCTAGGTTCGTTCTTGTCACTTCGATCCTTGGTTGTTCACTAGAATCGATTTGCTTTCAGTTTGATTTAAGTGAACTTGAGAACTTACATGCTACTGTTTTATGCTTCTTCTTATCCCATACATTCTATGTTGAAGCTAGTAGACATCTTGATGAATCGTTTGAGCTGCATTCTTTCTCTAGAAAAGGTGCCATTGTCTTCGCTCTATTACAAGTGAATGCTCTACTTTATAGTTCTATAAATATAATATAGCTGAATGAAAGCACGATTAACTGACCTGGTGCCCAACGATGTTGATGCTTATTTCCAATTAGTGTACAAGTTGTAGCGAAGATCCATCTGTCATGTTTCCCTTTTAGGAGCCAAGCGAAGATATGCAAGTGAATTGGATGAGGTGAACATAACGTGAGGAATATCCGAGGCACATAAACTTATCAATAAAATTTCGAATACTATGTCTTTTACATGCAGGAGAATCCCCATCTTTACCAGCTTTTTAATTGTGCTGCACTCTAATGGTGTTTGTACTAGTAACGGATTAATGACACTGCAGTAGCGGAATAGTCTCCAATTCATGTTGTTGTGTTATAGCTGTTAATACTGTTGCGCTAGTTTGGGTTTAAAAGATTGTATTGGCAATTTTAATGTTTCTTTGATTAGATTTCACGGTAATGAAGTTTCTTCCTGCCTAGTATTTCTTCTTGAATTTGAAGTCAAATGAGTTTCTTTTGGTTCTAGATTTGTCTGAGATTCTTCACATCACATGAAGGATGTAATTTTATTCTGCAAAAAAGTACACACAGCTTGAAACTTCCAAGGATCGAGGCTATTTTGAATTTGTATTTTTGTCACATAGTTCAATTATATAATTTGGATATTTCATTTTTCTGATTCATTTCTTAGCCTTTTTAACCTATGCTTTGTCTGTTTATTTTAGTATGTTCAAGAGGTAAGTCAGAATGTCACTTACACATGGTAGTAAAATGGTACACTGTCGGCATCATTATTTAGCCAACTTTTTGTGTCTTGGCTTTTTATTCGTAAGCTGATCTCTTGTGGCTTGGCTTCTTCTCTACAAGCTGGACTTTTTCTCCACTATAATGTGATCACTGCTGTTGGTTTGAGTAGGTTCATTTTCTTTTCAAGGGAAAAATTGTTTATTCCGGTTGGATTGTGTGGATCATCTTATTTGTTAGATGAACTATGTTTATAAAGTTACTTTTGGAGGATTGTAGAGAATAAGAATATCACCTGACATATATGGTTGCCTGTACTTTATTCTATGTATCTGTCTCATACATCTGATATTTCTCTGAAGGACTACATTGTTTGATTTAGACACTGTAGCAGTAAAAATTTAGTCTCTAGATACACCTTAATGGCTGATACCTAAGTATATGTTATTGTTGCTGAATTAAGCAAGTATGCTCGACTGATTTGAATTGTAAATTCTGTCTGTAGTAATTATATTAACTTGAAATAAGCATGCAATGATGCAGTACCAAATAACAAGGAAAAAAAAATCACTGAGAAGGATGTACAAAGGTTCTGTAAACTAAATAAGATTAAGACATTCTAGACTAATATGGGTTACCTGTGAAACAACTCAGCCTGTTATATAATCATAGCAGCTTTGAGTACATGTTTCAAGAATAAGAGTATATCTGCTTATGGTATTAAAAAGTTGTTGATCTTTACCATGTCTGATAATGAAATACTATAGTTTGTTTTGAATAATACCTGACTGCTCAACATGGACTTATTTTTATCTTTACATAATAAAGCAATAGAGAAGCAAATAAAATGTTCAATCCAATGAAGCAAGTTGAGATTTATAGGCAAAAAAAATTAACATCCCTATTATAGTTGGTTATCTTTGTAAATATTGGAACTTAATAGACGTCGAGGATTTAAATTTAGATAAATTGATGGTTAATTTGCAATCCAATTTATTAAGAGCGGTGGTAAATATTATATTAAGTTAGACTTTCATGGTTATGATTTTATGATAAAGGATGTATCTAGCGCACGAGACTCTCGCTAATGCGGGGTCTGGAGAGGGTCAATGTATGTAGCCTTATCTTTAAATATTAAAAAAAACTAATTTTGTGACTCGATCCCAAGTCTCCCAGGTTGTAAAGGAGCAACCTTACCTTATGTCTAGGGAGGGCTATAATTTTATGATAATAGTAAAATTATTCTTTTTGGATGAGATAATAAATTACATGTGAGTACAGTAAGATGTTTTAACATAGCCTCTTGGATGGATAAGTGAAATTTGGAAGACTTACGTAGTTAAATGTGTAGAACCAGTTGCATGTTTAAAAGTATAATAATCATGCAAAAACTTCAAGAACATAAGGCGAATTCTACCAAAAATACATGTTCTAGAAATAAAAGGTATCCATTAAATAGTATTATCATCCATCAGTGAGTCTTAATGTCCATTAAATGCAACAGGAGGCACCAAATAAAATCCACATTCTGTATTTATGTTATGTTTTGTGATAGAGGTTTGAGATAATTGTTGCTTTCATGTGGCTTGTTTTTTGTTCGTAATTACCAAAGATTGATATAAGATTGTTTTATAGTCTCTGAGTTAAAGATCAAAATGCTAAAAGTAGTCATTATTATCATAGACAGTTGAAGTTCTAGTTTCTGAAGTAAATGATCTTCAAAGAAACATCCTCAATGGATGACATTGGTTAACATGAATTTTCCTTGACCTGAAACTCCTAATACTAAAACTACATAGCAGGGAGATGATGTTATATTTTCATTGAGATCGAATTTAATCTGATGTTAAGTTTGCTTGTGAGGTTGGATGTGTTGATGTTCATTCGATGTATGTGGCATTGGCAACAATAAATGCAGTGGTTACTTATGTTGAAAAGAAAGTATGATTTCAAAATGTGTCATGCAAATGCAGAATATGATTGAGTGAGATATCAAAAGTGGATTTCTTCATGGAATTCTTAATTTTGTTATTTACAAGGTTCTCAAAATTTCTGAGGTGGGTATCTTCATAATAATATCCTCTTGTATGTTAAAAAATAGAGTTAATGTATGCAACTTCTACATGACAAAAATTTGAATCTTGCTCCTTTTCCATGTATAGAGAGTTGTATTAAATCTATCATGCCAGTAGAATGCAATCAATAAATTTTCATCTTCTGGGCAAGCTAGCTAGCACATTGTCTTGCCACCTGGGCAAGAACTTCATCTTCTGACTGTTTTCGGGAAATAGGTTTGCCTCTGATCTTGACTTTTTGGTTCACCGTGATGTGAACGGGATTGGATGTAATCTCTCTTTTTTATCATCTTAATATAATTTTCACCTTTATGGAAAAAAATAAATAAATTTTCAAAATATGAAAAAAGGGTGAACAAGAAATTATATCATATTTACAAGAACAAATAAGTTTTCATGTAGGAAATGAATGTAAAATATGATATAATTATGTAATAATGAGAGGCAGGTGTTTGGACCATGTTTCTTTGCCCATACTCTCTTCTCATATCTTTCTCTTATTGTTGTCCCAGTGTAATTTCTTGTGACCAGATGATTTGTATAACCTTTTTTTTTACAGGTTATAACCTGAACTTTGCACTGGACCAATTCTAATGATTCTTGATCCATTGTTTGTAGAGAAGAAAACATCATAATTAGTGATACCTTATTTTTGTCCTCTTTCATGTTCCAAACATGAGCATGAATCATTTGTCTGTTAACCACATCACTGGTAACTGAGAATGTTAGAGATGTTGCAGGATTTAGAGATGAGACAACCTATCATGAGTCCTTGTAAAGAAGGTGGTCTTTTTTTATTTGACACTGGACAAAGTGCCATATTTGATTCTCAACTTAGGATCCAAATCTGAATATAATAAGGCTTAAGTATTTAAATGAGGATTCAGATAACATGCATTAAAATAAAACTACTTTTGAAACAACAAGGTTGGATGTTGGATTTTTAAGTTTATATATCCAGTTACTAACTGATGTTTATATTTGTGAAAATTCAATAATTTATGGATGAAATAGAAATTTTATTTATGAAATAACTTATAGATTTAAACTATCTTTATTGTGTCACATAGTAACATTATTTGTTGATTGAATAAACTCTGTTAAGACTGCAAGTGTTAGAACTTGAAAAGGTATATTCACATGAACAGTAATGAGCTTTAGGATTAGATAGGGGAAAGGGTTTAAGGAGTTTCAATCGTTGGCATGTCATAAATAGTAATGAACAAAGGTTGGAGATTGTTAGGATTAGATATGTGCAACAACCCTTGTCGATATTCATGTTCTTGCTCACCTGCCTGCACGTGCAATTCTAGTCAGGTTTCAGTTTTCAGGCATGGATCCTGCTAGATGGTAATCTGGTATACTATTAGGTGTAAAAATCAGTATACTACGGATATAGCTCCTAATATAATCAAGATATCTTTATTTTCATTTGTCGTCCTTCATAGTCCTGCATATTTCCTTGGGAAAATTATGGAAAAAGCTCCTCTTATTAGATTTTTTTTGGAAAGTGTCCTCATTTTTTAAATTTTCTAATATCATCAATTTTTTTTTCCTAATACCTCGAAAACACTTGACTTGATAGTTAGTCATGTACTCTTTCTTCCTTCTATTTCCTCCGTTTTCCTATGGTTCGATTCATAGGATGAATCAATTTAGATACTATGTTAGAGAGTTTTTTTTCTGGTAATACAGGAAAACACTGACACATTACATATTTTTTTCATACAAATTTTGTAAAAATAATATTTTTATACTATATTATAGCGTTTCAACAATATCAGAAAAATACTGTAACATAGTGAAAAAATTGTATAACTGGACTAATTCACCCTATTGACCAATCCATAAGAAAAGGGACAGGTGACTAGGGGTAATCCAGGTGTTAGGGGCAAAAAAAATAAAAGATGCTGTTAAGGAATTTTAAAAATGGAGGTACTTTTGATTTTGGAAAAAAAAAGTTCAAAAGCGCTTTTTTTTTTTGTTGAGAATTTATCCTATTTCTTTGACTTGATGTTTCTTCACCAGCATTAAAATTTGCAACTACCTCAGTTCCAAATTTGTTTTTCGAACTAATACAAGCTTCTGAACTATGTGTAGTAAAGATTTTTGTAACAGTTTCAAGAATTTATATTTCATAGTCTTTTTCAACTTAAAAGCTTTTTATTCAATGTATATGTACCCTTGAGAGTGGTCAACATGTTTTGCAGGTGGCAGGCTAGTAACTGTGTTCTGTGCTTGTGCATGTTGCATGATGTGCATGTTTGCTGGTTAGATGCATTGGTACAGTATGATTGACGTACACCGTTATGGACCTACTTGGGATAACTACACGCCCTAACATATGATTGATCTAAGTACATCAACTGGCATGACATAGCATATTACGTACCACGAGACCTTGATTGACATAGGCACATTAATTGACAACTTTGAATTGCATTCGGTCACGTAACTGATCTTTTGTAAGTACATAAGTTGTACACGGAAGTTGATATATTTCAACAAGTATTTGTAAGTACATAAAAAAAATGATTTTTTCAGTTACAATGGAGGTACTGCTTTGTGTTGTTTTGATCCACCTCATACATTTGTTACCAAGACTTAGTTAATGTTGATGATCAAGTTCCTATGGATGCCTCTTTCTTAACTGGAGAATAGAACTTAATGGAACATTTGATCTTTGCTACTGAAAAATCTGCCTTACCATGAATCTTTTGTTACTAGCTAGCATGATCCTTATTTACTAGCACGTGGTACATGACTTTGTTTATGCATGTGAAGATATGTTTATCCCTCTTTTGTTTGGTTTTTACTTTTTAGTACTATCGACAAAAGAATTTGCAGATGACAGGTTGATCACTAAACTTCATACTAATAATTTTGATGACATTTATTTTAGTCACTTTAATTGCCAATTGTAGTGAAAGAATCAGAAATTGATGTGTAAAAATTACTTATTTGCTACTTCCTACTTGTTTGTTATAGAGCTATGTTGAAAGAAGATTGACAGCAACAATTTAGGTTGCATAAAATTACATGATAACACAGAAAATTAGTGTACAGCCAAACAAAGAGGAAATTTTTTGTCGTTTGTTTAATACACAATGTCTAACCTATAAATATATAGGCAGACTCTACAAGCAGAAACGAAGCTGATAGAATTCTGAAATGCAATTTTTGAAGTTTGAACAATGTCAACATTTTACATTTGGTGGTGACTCTTAGATGGAAAACCATCAAACACAAATTTCAATGGCCTGTGTGGTTGAAGTTGTGAACTAAATCTGTCCATGGTCAACTTAGCCTAAACAAGTTCCTTATATTGTCGTCTAATCTAGCCTTGAGGTTTTTTTTTTGGTGTACATACAATGGGTCAGCTTGTATTTTGATTCAGAAGCTTCATGTTGAAAAATGTCTTAATACTTTATTCGATGCATGATATTTTGGTTTTCTCATGACTCATGGAAGTATATTAACTTCACCCACCGTATATAATTCTCAAAAAACGTGGCTATGGATCCTGCTAGATGTGAAATTTGATACTTTCACTTACCCACATGCACGTGTGATTCCAGTCAGGTTTTAGGTTTCAGGCGTGGATCCTGCTAGATGTGAAATCTGATATAATTCAGTATAGTATGGATCCATGCCCCTAGATATAACCAACACATCTTTTATTTGGCCTCAGACAGGTTCTGCATATTTCTTTTACTTGATGTTTCTCCACCAGCATTAAAATTTGCAACAACCTTAGGTTCCAACTTTGTTTTTTCCAACTAATGCAAGCTTTAGACGGAAGTAATAAAGAATCTTTGTAATAGTTTCAAGAATTTATAATGCATGATTTTTCAAAAGCTTTTTATTCAATGTGTATGTACCTTGTAGAGTGATCAACAAGTTTTGTAGGTAGCACAGTTCTGAATTGTGCTCTGTGCTTGTGCATTTTGCATGATGTACATGTTTTCTGGTTAGCTACAGATGCACCGATACAGTCTGATTGATGCACACCATCAGGTACCTACTTGCCCTAACATGTGATTGATTGGACGAAGTACATCAATGGCAGGATACCATGTGAGACATAGATTGACGCAGTCATAGCAATTGGTACTTTGAACTGTATTTGGTCACATAACTGATCTTTCTCATGATGTTGATAGTTTTGAACGAGTATTTTTAAGTACATAGAAAATGGATCCATGCTTGGTTTAGTTTGAAATTAAAACTTAATTTGCTTTATTAATGTCTACTTTAAAACTTATTGTCATGTTTTTAACTGAAGTTTAAAATGCTAAATGAAAACTTTTAACAAAAATCATACCTTAGTTGCAGATAGATCAGAGTGAAAGAGAGCTCTAAATGAGAGGAAAGATGCAGCCTCGTCAGATCACTGAATGAGAGAGAAATAAAAAGAAAGAGAGAGGAATCGAAGAGATGGAATGAAAGAGACATTTTTAAGCACCATGACATGATAACTTCGGTTAGGGGCCTTAAATTCCTAGTTTTGTTCTTATTCCATTATTTGTTCCCCTGTCTTGTTCACTATTCTGTATAACAATTACATGTAAATGCATCTAGAAACAAGTCTTAAGACTCTGGAATGATGTGATAGAATCCAGTATGAAGACTAGTTAATCTTTGAATTGGCGAACTATATTGGTGGACTTCCACAAAATGCTGGTTACATATGACTCAACTGGTGAAAAGCCAGTTCTGATGTACTTTTGTGACGATTGTGACCTTTATTTATACGATGCTTTGATTATGATTTGGACTTGGTTTTGTTGTTGTAGTTGCTGCTTGGATTATGATCTGTTACTTTTTAAACTTACACTTGTTGTAACAGTAGCTATAACATAAACTTATGTTAGTTTTTGTTAATTCCTAGATGTGCTTGCAAGTTACAGATAATTCCGATGAGATTTAGGAGACCAAGGATATTTACTGCAAGATTCGTAAATACACTGTGATTTAATGGTTTTTGGAGACATGCTTCTGTAGATCATAGTTTTATTATAGAGTGTGTTAATCCTTTCACATTTTCTGTTATTTGTTGTGGAAGGACTTTCCCATGCCTAGCTTAATTGCCATCTGTCTGACACCTGATTGGAAACATACTCTTAGCTCTTGTAATTTTATTATTGGCTAATCCTTCATTAGTAGATTATGCAAAATTTTGCCTGTAAATGTATGGGGTTATTATGTTTATGATTTAAGCTTTATTTTTTTATCCGTCAGCAGTAAAATATATTCTCATCAATTCCTTGCATGTTTTTTTTTCTGAGCTTTTTGCATTCAACTGTGAATGTTTATCGATCTTTAGCTGTTATCATTTGACTGAATTATAGTTTTGTGATCTAATTCTCGTGCTACTCAAAGATAATAAATAGTACCAAGTGATGATTTTCTGTCTGCCAGGATAAGTTGTTGATGAGGCTGCAGAAAGTAATTTGTTGCTATTAAGATGCAGGCCCTACCTCTGTCATCAATGAATACTAGTCATGAGTCATTGTTTGTTCTATCGATTTACTGTTTAACTATTATTGATTTTGGACCTGCTATAATTTCTTTTCTTTATCGTTAGAAAAATGAAAAGAAAGCTAGATGGCTTGGCTTCCATGCTTTTGAGGGCTTCAGTGGATCGAGTTGGTGCATAATCCAGGACTTGGTTTCAGTCTACTTGTTTGATCTCCAGTGATAACCCAGTTCTGGTGCATGAAAGGAGGTAAATCACCTTTTACAGTCACCAGATAATGAGCATAGACTGGAATGAGGTACATAATCTTGGCCTTTGTTATTTATACTTTGTAACTGGTAGCTAACTAGAATCTTTGTAGTAAATACCATGGGAAATTGATGAGGCAATTAGAGTTGCAACTGCTTGGTGTATGGATTTCCCATTAGAGCTTATTTTTAACTTTTGCAAATAATTGATTGATTTCCTTGTCACTTTTCATATATTTTCTTTTCAAGGTTAGCCCTACACATTTTAAGAGTATATATCTCTCTCTCTAAATATTTAGAACCTCCACATGTCACTCCCATGACCATTTATTTAGAACTACCCCATGCTTTCTATTCTAAGTGATTGCTTTATATCTGCCTTGTTCATTTTCTTGCTGGTCGATAAGGAATACATCATTGAAGAAGAATAATGATCATAAATAAGCCATCCAATCAAATGTGCATTTGTATGATGATAAGGTATTCTATAATAGAGTTTCAAAGTTTAACAGTTAATGCATATGAACTACAATGATGATAGTAAGTTTTGAGATGTGTATATATGTGTGTGTGTGTGTGTGTTGAATTTAAATTTGAAGGGGTAAACATCACGAGTTCCAGTAATGTTCTCATGAGCCGAACACTGTGCACTAAAATCTCATTTCAGGATGGAAACATCAAATGGCCAAAGATCTAAAGGATGCAAATATCATTTCCATCGCAAAACAAAGATGCAAATGCCTACAGAAGAACATGTTCAGGGGATTCATTGGCTGCCACTATATCAGAGTTTCCAGCCACAAACTCCTCAAGGGTCAGAGCAGGGAGGGAGAGAAACTCCGGAGCTCCATCCCGGTTGTGCAATGTGATAATCGTCCTCGATCCATCGCATCCAATGTGAGTCACATGCTGCACATCCGTTGGGAATCCAATCTCCATCTCCACCTCTTCATCTTCCTCCCTCTGCAGTGCAAACAACTGAGCCATGCTCTTGATCAGTCGCTGCAGCGCTGCAGATATGTTGTGCCTCGGAAGAGGAGGAAACCCCAGCGATCTCTTCATCTCCAACCTCGGTAAGCTCTCTTGTACACCTTTTGATAACAAAAAGAAGTTTCTCCTGGTATCATTTACTGAAAGGAACACAGAATGGCATTGAGAGTAAGAATGAGAAGTTTACTTTGCGATGATTGAGTGATTCTGTCGGGGCTTTCTTGTGCTGCTTTCTATCAACCGAAATATCTCATTGCCTATTAATGGAGATGGAAAGGGCACAATGGAGTGCAACAGAAGAAAGAAGGGACCTGCAGACAGAATGGCTTATCATGACATGGGGAAGTGTTTGTTGAAATCTCTGACGATGGATGTCATTGACTTGGTCAGCAAGTTAGCAGATCTACATAGTCTATAGCAGAGCATAGACGTGTGGTTGGTTGCTACTTTACTCTTTGCTGGTTGCAGTGCCGTCTGTAGTCCGGTCTTGTGTTTCTGAGAAGCCTCCTATGGTGTGGCAAATATGTGTAGCTATTCTGTTGTGTCACTCACTGCCTCTCCCTTTTGATCACTCAAAATCTTATCAAGAGTGCAATCCAAGCAATTCATCCAATCATCCAGAACTGATGCCATCATTTAGAAACAAGATCAAGAACCTCCGAGTCAGTCAGGCGGTCACAGGAAAAAAAAAGAAAAAGGAAGAGATATGGGAGACTCCACTGTCGCTTTCTTTTGTTTGGAATATTGAATGCTTTGGAGTGGACAATGATCAAGTACAAGTCACCATCGGAATCTATATCCAAGGATGCTGCAGTCCTTGTGCTGGCCTTAAAAGCAAATGGAGTTCGAGGGCTCCAGTTAATTCTTTTGGAGTATGTAACTTCAATTCTTCTCTCCAAAAAATAATCGTCCCATCCCATGGAAATTTTATTGTGCGAGTTCCCAACACTCGAATGTATCTGGTAATCATCTGTGACCTATTCTGTAATCTTCACTCGGAAGCCATCTGCTGCCATCAGCCCCCATCACTGTTCAGGTATCAGTCACTGTCATCTTCACTTCTGGTTTTTTTCCTGACCGATTTGAGACAGAGCTTTCAATTTGAGTTGGATTAAACATGGTTCGATATGTAGTTAAACTGTCCAATTGTAAGTTGACACATAATTTTCTTTTGGACAGACTTATCTTACCCTAAATCCAATCTGTTGTTAGCCAATTTTATAAAATAATATATGGCATCTTAAGCACTTTTTAAATAATTTTCAACCTCGTCAGAGTTTGGTAGTTGAATTTATAGTGTTAATTTATAAGGGCGTTTCTCTATTGTTTGATTCTTTGTCCTTTTTGCAAAGGGTGTTTAATGCATGTTTTTTACTGGTTTATTTTTTAAAAATATCTCCATCTTGCATTCTATGATTGAAACCATTTATTTAACCTTTGCGCAAGTGTTAGTCTTTGCCCTTAACTTGTTAACTGGTTGGATCGGTTCTTGGAATCATTGAGTGTGATAGTGGTTTGAGAATTGTGAATGCTGTTGGAGATATTTTTCACCTGATGTCTGTTATAGATTATTATAAAAATTTGTCTATATCTTATGAAAAAAATCCTGTAGCTAACTAATTAATCATTCATGCTCGTTCAGTATTTTTTTTGTTTTAATCTTCGTAGTAAATTCTTTCCGTTCCGTTCTTAGATAGATCTCTTAGTTTGCGCTGACGCCAATGGGATTGTTTCCTTTCATCAATAAAAAAAGTTATTAACTTTTCCTTCTTGAAAAATAAAACTACTATTTAGACTACTAAGAGGAGGAGGACAAAATTAAATTTGATCATTAAACTTAAATGCATTTAAGATCTTTACCAAACAATTCATTATATATATATATATATATATATGAATTAATTATAAATTATTTTTTATAATTAATTATTCTTAGTATTTTAATTTTTTATATTTTAATTTTATTAATAAAATCGATGGTAGAAAAAAATAAGATTAAATATTTTAATATAATTTTTAAAATTAAAAAGATTAAAAGATTAAAGATAAATAATTATAAAAAGATAATATATAATTAGTCTTATATATATATAATTTAAAATTTTATTTTTTCTAAAACTTGTATTATTGATGAACTCAGTTGAATTATAGATATAAATTTAGACAGAGGAGAGAGATGAGAGAATGAATTTGAGTTCGTTCAGAGGGATTGGGTGACCGGCGAGGAGGGTGGAGACGATGATGCGCTCCTTCCAGCCGTCCGACGCCTGCCGCCCCTGTGGACGGCATATCCCGCTTAGTGGCCGCACCCGCCGACTAGGGAGGGGATAGCAAGCAGGCCGTTTGCGTCAACGGGGAGGAGGAACCAAAGGACCCGATACATGCGACATAGCGGACGAGATAATATCATAGTATAACGGCCGTTACCAACTCGGACGTGTCGGCTAATTTTACGAATCCGATACGATCTTAAAAAATCCAATTAAATCTCAATATTTCCTTAAAAATTCCATCGACCAAACCATAAAACACTAAAAGATAAAGAAAGAAAGACACACACCACAGTCTCTCGATGTCCTCCGTCTCCGGCCTCGCATACGCCTCCTGGGGGAACAACGTCTTCGACGCCTTCTCCATCGAACCGTGGGATCCCTTCGACGGCCTCCCCTTCCGCTCCTCTTCCTCCGGCCCCCGCTCCTTCTCCTTCGTCGGCGCCCGCGTCGACTGGAAAGAGACGCCGGAGGTGCACCTGTTCAGGGCCAACCTCTGGGGGCTGAAGCAGGAGGAGGTGAGGGTGGAGGTGGAGGACGGGCGGATCCTCCGCATCAGCGCCGAAAGGAGCCGGCGGGCCGACAACGCCTGGCACCGCGCGGGGCGGAGCGGCGGCAGGTTCCTGAGGAGGTTCCGGCTGCCGGAGAACGCCAGGATGGAGCAGGTGAGGACGGCAATGGAGAACGGCGTGCTCACCGTCACCGTTCACAAGGGGGTCTTGAAAGGGCGTCTCTCGTGATCTCTGCACGGAGAGTCTTGTTTTGGATGGTAAGTAAGCGTCTTATGGAGGTATTGATGCGTGGTTGGGCTTTCGTAGGAGTGGTGTTTGCTATCGTTCACCAGTGGTGAAATGGTGTAACAACAATAACTAGGAAAAGTGAATGAAAAGAAGAACGGACACTTATGTTTCCCTGAGATCACAGGAATAGGTAATGGCTTATGTTCTCAGTATAACAGGGGATAAGTTTTCATCAGTACAAAAAGCATGGAGACAGAGTGCCATCTTCGCTGTGCTTAACGATTACGGTTGGAGATTGTTATTCACTTTATTTTCTATTAATAATTCCTTATTTCATACAATCATCTAAAATATAATTTTATTAAATATAATCTTTTAATTATCCATCAATAATCTCACAAACTCTTAGTTATTATTACTTCATCATAAAACGCATTTCATCCATCAGTCGGTCATTTTAATTTTTATTGCTTTAAATATTGAAACCTTCCACAAATGTTGTTGTCATGATTGCATTAGTTTATTTGATTTAAAAGATCATTAGTATTATTATTATTATTATTATTATTATTAGTATATATATATATATATATCTCAAAAGCTTTCACATAAGCATGTGATGGAAACTATTAATTGTTGCTTAACCATCCTAAAGGCAATTTAATTGTAATTATAGCATAATAACTACTTCGATTTCTTCTTCGTTAAGAACATAAGCTACATATTTAAGCACATCTTTTTCATCAACATCTTTAAAAAAGGGAAAGGAGAAAGAAATTATGTTGATCATCGTATTACCAACCACAAAGTCAACAACTTAGCTGTCCTGACACGATCCATAAGGTAATATATAGTCTATGAATTTGAGAAGGTAGAAGATGACTAAGGCATCATAACGTTAGAGATCTCTTAAAGGAAGCATTTTGATGATTACAAAATGGCAATAGCTCGCCCTAATAGGGGCCTTTATACAGAGCAAATTAATGAGAAATAAAGCTAAGCTATGAATTATGGATATGTAAAAGCTTTAGCCTCAATAATAAAAATTATGAGAACTTGCACCTGGATTCCTTGTATCATCATAATGATCACAAGACTGATGTATCGGCGTCAACATCTTCTTCATCATCCTCGGACATGGATGAAGCAGGGGTGCCATCCTCCTTTTCCCAGTTGTTGGAAATCTGAGTCTCGGATTTGTTTCGCCTCCGTGCACCAAGCTTTCTTTGGTGCTCTAGAGAACAAAAACAATAGAAATGAGCATGGCAGAGCTATGTTGGGAAAGCACATAATTAACAGATATTAGCTTCAATTTACTCTTGTTGTTGATTGCACTGCGGGTCATCGCCAAGAACTCTTCCCAGTTGTACTGTCTTAGTTCCTGTTTCTCCTCCTCCGTGAGCTCAAAATTGGGTTCTCTCCCACACATGAAAGCTGCTCTGTAGGCAAAAATGAACAGTTCGAATAAGCAGGAAATAATGAGTCATCCCAACAAAATTACTTACAACATATATAATCTGTAGCAATAAGTCAATACCTTCACCCATTAGCTGGACAATTGCCTAATAAATTTATTCCCTCCATGCACATAAAACGATCTCATGCTTTTACGTGAAATGTGCGGTGTTTCCACTGGAAAACCATGCAAAACACATTTGTTTCCAATTTGGAATTGTTATGATCATTATGTAGGTTCTGAACCTACATGACCTTACTTGCAACTCCTCTGACCTACCCTATAAACATAAGATTTCAAATATTTGATGTTTAAGATTTATGAAATTTAAAATGCTACACATCATACTCAATAGAGGATTCAATTTAAATAATTTGTGCAAGTTCTACTTCCATCTCAGATTGGTCCTGGTGACCAACTCAAAAACATTCTCAGATCCTCTAGTAAAGTAATCTGAACAGCGCAACAATAGAGAGTCAAAGATGCATACAAGTATACAATTGCATTTTTTTTAAAAATACAATTGCATTTGAAGTAATACTTAGCGAACAAGATTATAGTAAAATAATTGACGGACCTAAGATAAAATAGGTAAAATATTTCTATTGTTTATTAAAAAAAATAAGATCAGAATCTCAAACTTCTTATAACTTATAAAAACATCTTTGAAATGAGACCATTGTGAAAAGAGTAAAATGTGAAATATGAAAGGAAGGTTAGCAATTATATCTAGAAACAGGAAACAAAAGACAGCTAAGAAACTTCTTATGCAATATGCATGGATTGGTATGCTGATCAAACCAATTTGTGTTGTTTGTGTTTTAACGGACACGGAATCAGCACCAGTAACAGCTTCCCACTATATCAAGGTAATTGTCAACATAAACTTCACAAAGCTTCCTTTGTGCCTTTGGCAGCAGAATTTGGTGTTATCATGAGTTTCAGTTTCATGCCATTTCACGGACACAATGAAGTCTATCACACTGAGTGCTTTTCAGCTGAAAACAGCTTTTCAGTTATTTTCAAGTTTTTACCAGTTGTGTCAGGTGATCTTATCAATGTGTTAGACTTAGATTGGCCATATCAGGCAAGCAACATTATGTAATTAAACAACCAGTTTGTTTCAAAATATCTGATCCATTATATCTTGAGGAGCAGAGGGGAATTATCACTTGGGAGTTGGGAGTACCATTGCCTTTAAAGGGAAGATGCTCCAGCCCACAAATGTTACTTGATCACCGGGCAGAATAGAGAAACATAAGGCTAGAAAAGAGGTTATACCATAGGATAGGTATGCAAGTATTACTACTATGTGTTATTTTACTCTAGTGAAAGCTTTTTTTTTCTTCTTTTGTTTCTCTTTTCTTTGAAAGATTCGACAAGCTGCCACATGCCATCCTGACAGCCAATCAAAGTGTTTTTCACTACTGTAACATAAAACCTTGCATGTATTAATTCTCTAAGGTGGA